TCTATTCAGTAAATGGTGTTGGGAAAATTGGACAGATGATGCGCAAAAAATGAAACTTGACCACCATCTTACACCATACACAAGAATAAACTAAAAGTGGATTAAAGACTTAAATATAAGACTTGAAACCATAAAAATCCTAGAAGAAAACATGGGCAGTAAAATCTCGGACATTTCTCGTAGCAGTTTTTTTTCTGATCTCCTCAGGCAAGGCAAACAAAGGATAAAATAAATAAATGGGACTACTAAAAAGTTTGCACAGCAAAGGAAACATTAAAAAAAATGAAGAGACAGCCACTGAATGGGAGAATATATTTACCAATATATCTGATAAGGCATTAATGTCCAAAATTTATGAACTTATACAATTCAACACCAAATAAACAGTCCAATTAAAAAAATGGGCAAAGCACCTGAATAGATACTTCTCCAAAGAGGACACACAGATGGCTAATAAACATATGAAAAGATGCTCAATGTCACTAATAATTAGAAAATGCAAATTAAAACCACAATGAGATATCACCTCACACCTGTCAATGGCTATCATCAATAAATCAACAAACAATAAGTGTTGGTGAGGGTGTGGAGAAAAGGGAACCCTTTTGTACTGTTGATGGGAATGTAGATTGGTGCAGCCAAAGTGTAAAACAGTATGGAGTTTCCTCAAAAAATTAATGAAACTGCCTAATGACCCAGTGATTCCACTCTGGGGATATATCTGAAGCTACCCGAAATACTTAATTCAAAAGAATATATGCATCCCTATGTTCATTGCAGCATTATTTACAATAGCCAAGATTTGGAAGCAGCCCAAGTGCCCATCAGTAGATGAGTGGATAAAAAAGCTGTGGTACATGTACACAATGGATTACTTCTCGTCTGTATAAAAGAAAGAAATCTTACTTTTTGCGACAGCATGGATGGACCTGGAGAGTATTAAGCTAAGTGAAATAAGTCAGTCAGAGAAAACAGATACCATATAATTTCACTTATATGTGGAATCTAATGAACAAAATAAAGTAGAAACAGACTCATAGATACAGAAAACAGACTGACAGCTGTCAGAGGAAAGGGGGTTGGGGGCTGAACAAAGGTGAATTTTGGGATTAAGCAAAAACAACAACTCGTAGACACAACAACATGGTGATTACCAGAGGGAAAGGGGAGTCAGGGGAGGTAGAACAGGGTAAAGGGATAAACAGTGACTGAAAGAGACTTGACTTTGGGTGGCAAACACAATACAATATACAGATGTGTCAAAGTTCTACACTTGAAACCTATGTAAATTTATTAACCAGTGTCACCCCAGTAAATTCAATAAAAAAAAATAGACACCTCCCCAGGTTAACGAGCAACTTAGTTTTTCAACACCATCAACTTTTACTTTGACCTTGCCTTCTCTGCAATCGATGGCACTCACTGTTTGCATTATTTGACTCCCTTATGTTAGTCCATCTCTTATTGTTATTCAACTGTTTTATATGAGTATCTTGTGTCATTGCTTTAATGATAAAATCCTAGCACAGGGTTATGGCTTATGTTACCTTTATACTCTGTTCTAGTTACTACTGCTGCATAGCACATTGTTCCAAAAAAATGAAGAGACAGCCACTGAATGGGAGAATATATTTACCAATGGTTGGAAAAACAACCATTTTCTTTTTTCTTTTCACTCACAGATTCCTATGGACTTCACATAGTGGGGACAACTTTTCTTTACTCCACAATGTCTGGGGCCCTTGGTGGGAGATTTAAGACCTGGAGGTGGCTTGATTGCTGGAACCTAGAATCACCGAAGTGTCTTTATTTACATACAGGGTGGGGCAAAAGTAGGTTTACAGTTGTTCATATGGAAAATAATCTATATCCTATATAATAAAAGCCTAATGCCCTAACCGGTTTGGCTCAGTGGATAGAGCGTCAGCCTGTGGACTGAAAGGTCCCAGGTTTGATTCCAGTCAAGGGCATGTACCTTGGTTGCAGGCACATCCCCAGTAGGTGGTGTGCAGGAGGCAGCTGATCGATGTTTCTCTCTCATCAATGTTTCTAACTCTCTATTCCTCTCCCTTCCTCTCTCTGTAAAAAAATCAATAAAATATACTTTTTTAAAAAGTATATATCTTTAAAAAAAATAAAAATAAAAGCCTAATATGCTAAGTGTCCGGTTGGCCGCTCAGCCGTTCAATCAAAACACAATATGCTAATGATATGCTAAGGCGGCCTAACTGCTTGCTATGACATGCACTGAACACCAGGGGAAGATGCTCCAACCAGTAGTTAGCTTGCTGCTGGGGTCCGGCTGATCTGGACGGAGTGAGATGGACTGGATATGCCCTGGAGCCCTCCCGTGGTCCCTCAGCTGGCCAACCTCCTGTGTCCCTTTTGGCCCCGGTGGGGTCCCTTGGTCTGGCCTGCACACTCTCACAATCCGGGACTCCTCAGGGGATGTCAGAGAGCCGATTTTGGCCCGATCCCACAGGCCAGGTCGAGGGACCCCACTGGTGCACGAATTTGTGCACCGGGCCTCTAGAGTGTGTGTGTGTGTGTGTGTGTGTGTGTGTGTATGTATGTATATGTAAAAGCCTAAGTGACCGGCCGACTGGCCAGTCGCTATGATGCGCACTGACCACCAGGGGGCAGATGCTCAACACAGCAGCTGCCAAGCAACAGCAACTTTGCAGAGTGCCTTCTTGCACTCTGGGACCCCTTGGGGGATGTCAGACTGCTGGTTTCGGCCCAATCCCTTTAGGCCAGGCCGAGGGACCCCCCACCAATGCACAAATCCGTGCACAGGGCCTCTAGTACAAGAATAAACTGTTTCATGTACTCACACTTGTAAACCTATTTTTGTCACACCCTGTATTTAATAGTTGATCCTGGCTATCAGTTGGGATCTCAGCTGGGCTCTTGGCTAGAATACCCACATATGACCTATCCATGTGGTAACTTTATTGAGTTTCTTTGGGCTTCCTTATAGCATGGCAGCTTAGTTCCAAGAGCAAGTCCCAGGAGAACAGGTAGAGTAGTCTTCATAGTGACATTTCTACTGTACTTTTTTTGTTGAGTTGGTCAAATTTTAAGAGTGTCATGTGGGATGGGAGATACCTGGTGGTCTTTAGCAAATACATTCTTCCACAGTCCCCAACAACACTTAAAACAGTGTTGAACACACGTCATGAACTCAGGAAATATGATTGTGAATGAGTGACAATTTAAATACCCAGGTGGGTGAGGATGAAATTTAAAAAATTCGATTCCAGATGTGAACAGATTACCCCATTATACCCAAACAAATATACACCTTTGCCTTTTATAGTTTCTTCTCTTTACTCTCTCATTCTATTTTCAACATGGGAATCTATGAATTTATCATGTGGAACTAAACTTGTTAAGGTCTTTGCATCTATGTTGCTCTTAGCAGAGGTGGGGAATGTCTGGCCTGCCAAATCATTTGGTCTGGCCCTGCCAAGGCATTAGGGGAGTTAAATGTTTGACCAAATACTAGTATAGCAGGCTGATGTTTACGCTGATAATTTTGTATGGCCTGCAAATGATGTTATAAATACCCAAATGGCCCTTGGCAGAAAAAGGTTCCCCACCCCTGCTCTATTGGCATGTTTTTTTTCCTGTCCTCATCAAGTGGGCTGCCCACATCCTTCTTTGGGCCATGATGTGTTCTCTATCCAGCAACTGGCTAGTGTCTGATAGATTCAGTTAATGGGCTGGTGATCCACATGAGCACATTGAGATATGCAGCCAGGTTATGACTATATAAGCAGTTATTTTAAAGCTGTGTGTCACACTGGGGAATATCTGTGGCCAAACCAAAATGCGGACTCTCAGACTTGAGCTTTATGTGTATTTATCCTCATTCCATGACACCATCATATCAGTTAATTTATGTGGTGGGAGAAGCAAAATCAACCCAGCCTCCAAATGTGTAAGATGTTCAAGTATATTAGCCAAGTTACTCAAGTTTTCTAGATGACTGAGAACAATTTGTGAATAATTTTATTTCACTTTAAAAATAAAACTCAAATGTTGAGTTGTATTATTTTCCTTGATGAAAGATTGCCACACTTTGTTTTTTGTTTGTAAGAGTGAGTATATTAACTTTCCCCCCAATAGAACACAATAAATAAAAATTAATGAGGGAACTAGTATTTACTTATGGCTTCTATTTTTAAAAGGGTGACTTTTAAGTTTTTTAAAGTACTAAACATTTACTCTTATGGAGAAAATGTCATCCTGGCTAGTGTGGCTTGGTTGAGCATTGTCCTGTGCCCCAGGAGGTTGTTGGTTTGATTCGTGTTCGAGGGCTTGTTCCCTGGCAGGGGGTGTGCAGGAGGTAGCTGGTTGCTGTTCTCTCTCCCTTCCTCTTTTCTAAAAATCAAACTATTAAAAAAGAGAGAAAATGCAATTACATAGGTTTTCAATTATAAAATAACATTGTAGGCCTCCAGCATACTAGTATACTGGGACCCTCTGAAATTCCAAAAGCTAAAACTATTTTAATCAGGTCATTTTACACAATCTTCTCTAGCTCCGTTGTAGCTGTTTTCTGCTTATTCAACATGAGGCAAAATTTCAGTGGATAGAATTTCAGATTTTTAACTGCAGATTCTAGTGGTTGTCATGATTTTTTTTTAAAGGGGAAGTAGCCTCTGTGGCACTGGGATGAATGCTCCAAATAGACTGTGACTCCTGGCAGCGATTCCAAGTCTATTCTAGGTGTGGACGCCAGTGTTAACATGAGGCTGGTGCCCACATCCCAGGAGCTCTCCATTGCAGGGAGTAGTTAATAGTTTGAGATTTCAGGCCCCGTGGGCAAATACTAATTCATTTTGTTGAGCACTTTGATGCTTATTATTCAGAGACCCGCAATCATCTCTGATGAGACAAATTGCTTATAACTTGTAAAAGAAATACCTTCTCTGGGTTTGGTTTAGGACAGTTCCTTTTTTTCCTTCATCCCAACCCACCCTTTTCCCCTGAAGAAATGCAGCTGTCAGAGCAACTTGGAAGGGCTGAGTTGAACACCATGGACAGCGATGTGGATTCCTTGGCTTTCTCTCTGGCCATCCTCAACCCAGAGACTAGTGTGCTGCAGTGGTAGTGGCATGTTCATTCAGAGCACCTTGCAATCTTTGACTCCTCAAACGTGGGTCGAACTTTACTCTCCTAATATTCTTTTTCTGTCTCCCAGTACACATTCACTAAGTTGATTTTTACACAGCTGTGATGTAATACCCATATTTTCTTTTATTCTTTATGATCAGAATCTGCCAGCCCTAGAACTGAGCAACACTTCTTCTTGTGCCTACCTGGGACTTCTTGCTGAGGTCCCTCTGCTATCAGGAGGGCTTTGTGTCCTGAATGGTGTACCAGTTTGTGGCAATGTTTTTCTATTATGGGCAGTAAGAAAATGGAACAGCTCAGCTGATCTAGGTTGTCTTTTCTTTTCTTTTAAAATATATTTTATTGATTTTTTACAGAGAGGAAGGGAAAGGGATAGAGAGTTAGAAACATCGATGAGAGAGAAACATCGATCAGCTGCCTCCTGCACACCTCCTACTGGGGATGTGCCCCCAACCAAGATACATGCCCTTGACTGGAATCAAACCTGGGACCTTCCAGTCTGCAGGCTGGCGCTCTATCCACTGAGCCAAACCGGTTAGGGCTAGGCTGCCTTTTCTGTAAGTAGCATTTAAATATGTTCTTTGTAGGCAGATCCAAGACCCCTTTCATGCTTTGAAGGCACTGGTTGGTAATGTCAGAATGCTGTAACGCAGGTGATGAGAATGTAACCCCCCTCCCCCCGGTCACACAGAGAAGCAGTGTGTGTGGGATTGAGCTAGGAGCCTGGACACCTTGGATCTCTTCCTGGTTCAGTCACTTATGTGCCCCAAGTTGAAACCATCTCACCCTTTCTGAACCTTGTTATTTTCTGATCTGTAAAAGGGGTCAGGAGTGTTAGAGGAGCAACTGTGGTGTCTGTGCCCTCTGGCAGACGTTTTTCTGAACCTTGGACCCAGCTTTGGCATTTTAAGCAGGTTTGTTGGCATGAGACTGACTAGCAGCAGCAGGGAGAGAGGATCATGTCTGTCTCACTTGGCTTCTTCCCTGAGGACTCACAATCTGTTTTCTTTCCCCTGTAGCACCCAGTACCCTACCACTGCCCAACCAACGAGGGTTAACAGAATACTAGGCTTCTGACCCACCCATTACTTACTTACCCTTGGCCCCTGATGAAGATTTTTCTGCTGAAAAGGCCAGGGAGCCCGGGACCCCTGCCTCAGGGAGGCAAGTGGCCTCACAAACAGAATGATTAATGGGAGACTGAGTCCCTCTTAGACAGTAACTACATAACCTGGTTGGAAATTTGATTAGCATCTTCCAGATTTTACACATTGAGCAGGGAGTTATCACCAGCATGAGAGCCTGAGTTTGTGTTTATTATACAGTGACTTTGCTTTTTTAAACTATCAGGATTCTGCCAGGGAAAGACTTGGAAGTGGCAAGACACTGTGCTCTGCTACAGGACAGGATGTTCTAATAATGTAAAAGTTCCGCACATTTCCATCTAACACCCACACCCGAGAATCTTACGTGACTACTTCCTTGTTCTCCCTCATAATACAATTGCACCTATCTCCATGTACCCCTGTATCAGATGTGGGCCCCCAAAGAGGGGTGTAACCTTGGGTGAGGTAGCTCCCTTCAGACAAGGACAGTTTCTGGGGAGGGACTTGTGATCACTCAGCATCAGCACTCTGAGTGCCTCAGTCCTGAAGGGGCAGTCTGGGTGGCATACCACAGCACCCACCTCCGCAGTGAACCCAAACCAGCTGCAGCAGCATCACCTGGGAAATGTATCAACTTTAATGGCCTAAAATCAACTGAGTTTCCTTCAGTAGGTGAACAAACCATGGTATATCTACCTGTACCAAGGAAAGGACTGTTGATATATCCAACAACATGGGCAGTGTGGCTTAGATGGTTGGAGCGTTGTCCCGTATAGTGAAAAGGTCCTGGGTTCGATTCCCTGTCAGGGCTTGTGCAGGAGGCAACCAATCAATGTTACTCTCTATAAAATCAATGAAAGCCTGTCCTCGGTGAGGATTTAAAAAAAAAAGTACACTTAGTGAAAATCAGAATTCCCCTCATCCCCCAAGAACACTACTCTATGTTCTATGATTTCATTATATAAAAATGTAGAAAATGCAAATTGTAGTGACAGAAAACAGATCAGTGGTTGCTAGGGAATGGGCTAGAAGATGAGGGAGGGATGAATTATAAAGGAGCATGAGGAAATTTTGGGGGGTGATGAATATATTTCCAGGTCATGTTGTCTCGAGTGTATGCATATGTTAAAGCTCACCAAATTGTACACTTACAGATCAAGTTGTACACCAGTTATGACTAAGAGCTGTAAAAATTTAAGTGTGATCATTACTTGGGGAAAGGCAGAGGGACAGGTACTCATAGTCACATAAATGAATAAATAAGAAGGGCCAACATGGAATTCCAGGGGGAATTCTTTTTAAAAAAATATATTTTATTGATTTTTTTACAGAGGGGAAGAGAGAGGGATAGAGAGGTAGAAACATCGATGAGAGAGAAACATCGATCAGCTGCCTCCTGCACACTCCCTACTGGGGATATGCCCGCAACCAAGGTACATGTCCTTGACCGGAATCGAACCCGGGACCCTTCAGTCCGAAGGCCGACGCTCTATCCACTGAGCCAAGCCGGCCAGGGCTAGGGGGAATTCTTTTAAACTTTCTGATTGGCCACATGCTTGCCTCCTTGTGTTTCTGCAGATCTAATTTATATCCACTGTGATCAGCCCTCTCATAACTTGCCAGATCCAGACCCAGGATTCCGAGTAACCAGACCCCTCCCAAGTGAGTAGCCCAGCACTACCTCTGTCTGTAGAATGAGGGATATTCTTGTCCAACTGAAATAACTTCAGGCATTTCTACAATACCCTGGGGGGAGGTCAGCACCCTTCCCAGTGGACACAGACTGTAAAGCAGGGGTCCTCAAACTTTTAAAACAGGGGGCCAGTTCAGTGTCCGTCAGACCGTTGGCGGGCCGGACTATAGTTTAAAAAAAAACTATGAACAAATTCCTATGCACACAGCAGGCCGCAGTTTGAGGACCCCTGCTAAAGCAACGTGCATTTGAAATGAGAGGAACTGATGTCTAAAATCCCAGGAAACCAAGAAATGAGAGGAACTGATGTCTAAAATCCCAGGAAACCAAGAGTGTCGTTTTCTATTGTTACTAATATATAGAACTTATGTAATATATATATACATATATCTTTATTTTTTTTTTTTTTGAGGATATATATACATATATCTTTAAATACTAAACTCATTTTAATCCAATACATATATCTTTAAATACTAAACTCATTTTAATCCAACACATCTGAAGCCAGTGAGATTCAACCAAACCCAGGGGCTCAGGTCAGCTAAAATGCTTATTAGCTTAGACAAATGATTTTTTAGACCATGGTTTTCAAATTACCTGGGATTATTTCCATAGAAATACCATAGCACAAATTGCAAAGTATTCAGATGTCATAAGTAAGAAAGGAGGAACTGTTTTTAAATAGTGAAGGGCTAAAGTGACCATATGTATTGGATTTTCTGTAACTGATCCAATTCAGTATCTTTTTAGTCCACAAAGGCAGTTCATTGAAAATATTACCTAATGTGGTATCATAAGATCTCTATGTCTAGAATTAGACATGAAGATAGGCAACAGTATCTGAAAGAACATTGCTATAGGAGGGGTCAGAATTTCTGATTTCTTCCTAATTACCAAGAAACTCTCTTCAATAAAAGCAAGACCCTGTAAGATTACTGGTTCAGGAATCAGCTGGGCATGTTTCTGTCTTTCACTTTCCTAAAATAGGATATTTCCATTTAATGCCCTTTTTAACATTGTTTGCAGGTAGTTTTTATCGCGCACTAACAGGTGGTGCGGGCCATTTTTGCTAATTTTTTGCGCAAATGTCAATGTTCAGTAAAATTACGATAACTTTAGTTTACGTATTTATACGTTACCCGCATTCTACCGCTAGTCTATAAAAAACGTATCCCGCGTCTATAAAATACGTGTCCCTCGCTCTACTACCAGTCAACGTAAAACGTATAAATACGTTTCCCGCATACAATGTGTTAAAAAACAATCGCCAGAGTGCTGAGTTTTACATAAATTTTACATATTGGTATCTTAGGCTACTTTTTCTAACTGATAATCCATAGATGATTTGCGTCCTCGAAAGAACATACTCTATTAGAGAAAATAACCATTTCTAATCCTTTTACCTTCCCATTCCACAAGTATGCAGAAGGCTGTGATGAATCAATACCATATAAAATACTGACAAGTACCTGTATTTTGCAGGAAGGAGACTATAATTTCGGATTCCCTGGTGGAGGAAAACAAAACGCTCTGGTCTTGCTTCCAATGATGCAAGTGTGATTGTCAGTGTCTTCATGAGCTCCAGAGGTCACAGCACACTACCACGGACTCTCATGGCCCCTCGGATGATTGCTGAGGGGGACATAGGAGGCATCGCTCAAATCACCTCCTCTCTCTTCCTGGGCAGAGGCAGTGTGGCCTCCAACCGGCATCTCCTCCAGGCTCGTGGCATCACCTGCATTGTTAATGCTACGATTGAGATACCCAATTTCAACTGGCCCCAATTTGAATATGTTAAAGTGCCTCTGGCTGACATGCCTCATGCCCCCATTGGACTATACTTTGACACCGTGGCTGACAAGATCCATAGTGTGAGCAGGAAGCATGGGGCCACTTTGGTGCACTGTGCAGCAGGGGTGAGCCGCTCAGCCACTCTCTGCATTGCTTACCTGATGAAATTCCACAGTGTGTGCCTGCTGGAGGCATACAACTGGGTGAAAGCCCGGAGGCCTGTGATCAGGCCCAATGTAGGCTTCTGGAGGCAGCTGATAGACTACGAGCGCCAGCTTTTTGGGAAGTCGACAGTTAAAATGGTACAGACACCTTATGGCATAGTTCCAGACGTTTATGAGAAAGAGTCCCGACACCTGATGCCTTACTGGGGGATTTAATGCCACCAAAGCCTGCATCAGCAGCCCCTCAAGCAGTACCAGCATCTGCTACACAGTGTCTACTCCCCTCTTCACCTTTCTTTTCAAATGGTTGATTTTTTGGTTCTCCCTGAAGTGTTCAAGTTTATTTTAAGAGGTAGGAAGGAGGGGAGGAACATAAGGGGAATGCATACATTGCTAATAACATTTTTAAAACTAACATTTTGGAATAGTGTTTATGAAAATCTTTAGCTTTTAATCATTTTTAGTAATTTGAACAGTTTAATAAACTGGTTCTGCTCTATCTTGAATCCCATGCCTTTTGGCATCATGACAGGTGCAAGAGAAGCTCAGTGCAAAAATCACTTTGAGTCCTGTAGCTAATCCTGTAGAGACAAGCTTTGCCTAAGGCTGCTGACCACACAAGTGCTTAGGGAAGATTGATACCGGCTTCAGTCTCTACTGGATTAGCCCTCCTCTTTCCTTCCCTCTTTAGTAACTTTGTAAGGTAAAAAGAAAACACCTTTATTATTTAGCTGTTAAGTAATTATAACAAAATCTGCAAACACCCTCTTGGAATCAATGTGTCCCAGACTATATTATTTTTAATAAACCTGTCTGCTTAACATATTAGAATATTTACTAAGAACAATTTTAGGGTGTGTGTGTGTGTTGAATGGAAGAAAGATGCTCTCCAATAATTATGTTATCATATGGCTTCTGTGACAATAATGAACATTACTGAAAATAGATATCCAGCTGAATCATGTCAACATTTCACATCCTGGCAGATATCATTTACAGTGCTGGAACTGAAAAATAGCATAGCTAAGTGTACACTCTGACAAAAGGCAATTTTCAGTTGTCTCTTGGTAACTTTAAGTGCACCAAAGCAGTGAATTCTCCATCAAACAATTTGGTTTTTCACAAAAGGTGTGCCTTTGCTTGACTATTAACAAATGCCCTAAACCAAAACTTAATACAAGTGTTAAGCAAATAACAACAGCTTCCTCAACTGGCCCTAATAAATCTGACAACTCATCAGAGAGTGGTAGGTTAAGTAGTAATTATTCCATGTTCCTGGGAAGCCACTGGGCATTACCAGGTTGCCTTATTTTTAGATAGGGGAGCCACTAGTCACAGCACTGCTCTTTTTTACTCATTTGCTAGATAGGCTGTAGCTAGCTTATCTGTGGAATAATTTTCTAGAGTTTTGGTATATTTTGGTAAGAAGCCATGAATATAATGCCAGTGGCTGCATATTTATATAAATGGTATCTTCCAAATTTTACCTGGTCTGGGGTTTCCATCTAAATTCTACCTTTTCTTGTTTCATATCACTTGCCCACTCTAACAACCACATACATCATTATTGTCTAAATAGAAATATTCAAAAAAAGCTAATAGTTTCTCTATGGGAAATCAGAGGAACCATAAATGCTACATCAGGACATAATCAAAATCAATCAAAAGAACAAAACAATATTATGGCTATGGAGGCCATGGCTGCTTTAGTATGAAGGCAAACTAAGTCTAGTAGTCTCTAGATAAAGGTCCAAAATAATCATACTATAGTAAGAAAATATTTAGTGATACGTTCTTGGTAACTAAGGAAAATTTCCTGCAGAAATCCTGGCAAACACTACCACTGTGATAACTAAGAGCATTCTTAGCCCCAGGCAAGTTTAACATCTTTCTAATCTAAATGTCAGAGTTTATTAGGACCAGCTAATAAAGGAAAGTGTGTAACCTACAAGATGTTAGGGGAATTTTTGTAGCGATCCCCAGTGCAGGGCAAGCAGTTCAAATGTCTGTAACATAAAGACCCTATAATTTTCAAAGCTTAAGAACAGGAGTCATTAAAAGGCAAGTAGAAGGTATCTTTAAACAACAAAAAGTATGTATATGTACACAAAGTACTCAATTTAAAATACTCAACCTATGTAGAGTGCCATGGGAAAAATAAAGAATGGATAATATCCTAATATACCCACTTCTACCTTAAGCATATCGAGACAAAAATTAAACTTTGCCATAAAATTTTTAAAGGCAAAATACAATAAAAAAGCTTATTTCATGAAGCCGTCGGCATAATACACAGTATGGAAATAAGTAACCTTGGTTACTGTTTCCAGGGACACTGTTTCCAGGGACACTGGGCTCTTGGCTAACGAGCTGAGGTGAAGCTGAATACAATGTTGAGTCATTTCAATAAATGCATAAATCAACACAAATCCTTGGTGGTATCTAATAAAACATTTCTATTAAACAGATATGAAAGTAATGAATACTTTTCATAGCAAAGGCTTTTTGTTGGTGTTTTGCTGTATTTTCCTCCAGCATTTCCCATGGAGTGACTAAACCTACCATACTTAGTAAGGTCAGTAGTAATTATACATAGAATTTTATCTGAGGCATTCTGGAAGATATCTGGGAATGGGAACCAATCTAGTTAGCATACTTTAAAAAATGTTACTGATGTAGGCCACTGTGAAAATAATAATCCATATAGCATTTTCAAAAAAAAGTCTGAGCAATGTAAATTCTGTCAAACTGGGTGATATTCTTATAGCAAAGGTAGATTTTGTTATGGAATGTACAAGACCAATCAGAAGCCTGCTTGAATTTGGGTGCTATCTGAAACCCTAGGGGCTGCTTAGGCTGAATTGGAGCACAGAAGCCTCAGGAAAAGCCTGCTACAAACAGGTCCGCGTGTGTCGTTACTGGCACTCCGCTAGCCCCGTGGAGGGCAAAGACTCCGGAGGTAGTAACAATTCAGAGACAGCTGTCTCAGTCCTTAGCTGGAGATGGCATCAACTTCAGCAAATGAGGAAAACAGACTTACCTCATCAACACAAGCAGAAGCCTCGTCGACTGCTGTTCATGGAAATGTTCTCTACCTTTTCTGGAGAGGATGGAGGTAAAGATGTAAGATGAAACAAAACAATTCCTCAAGTTCTGCCCTGAGAAGGGAAAGTAATCTAGTTAATTATGTAAAGCAGCAATTATATTGGCAAAACCAAATTTTTCAGTTACAAATAACTAAGTCTTGGTCAGACAGCATAAGTCAGACAAAGTGAAACATAAAAGATTCAAAATCTCTTCATAAAGCACATAACACCTCAGAAATGTGTCCTAGATTGACATGTTCTTCCTAGGAATGACAGTCCTAACCACTTGGCTTTCCCGCCTGACTTGATGCATCAGTTTCAGTGGCAAAGGCAATCCCTACAATAACGTGAGCTTTTTCCTTCTAAAATTCAGTGCTGTTTTTGAATAATTTCCTTCCACTATTACTAAGTTCCATTACCTTTACCAAAATGCACATCACATTTGCCTCTCAAGGCCAGGAATTCCACCTTCTAACCCTAAATTTTCAGGTCTCTCACGTAGATCCTGCAAAGTCAGGCAGTACTGGTACATAGGCAGTCATTTTTTGAAATCTGGACAGAGACCACCGCAAAAAGATTTCATTCAGCTGCCTTTCCAAATCTTGTCTGAAAAAAATACCACGTACACAGTCATGAGGTAAAACAAAACAGGTTTTCAGCGAAGGCCCCTAACAGGAAGGATATTCTGATACTCAAGGTTTTGGGCCTCTGTCAAAATGAACATTCTCCACTGCAAAGTACCCCGGCATGTTTGAGAAAAAGTCTTCTTGAAAGTTGAGTTTTAGAAATGAATGCAAGGAGAAGAGAATTGGTTAATTGGTTCAGTTGCATCAGCAAAGTTGGTAAATCTGCCCTTACCTACCTGCCCTTGTTCAATGGAGACAGATTTTTTTCTAGAAAAAGAACATCAGTTTAATCACAATTTCCCCTCTTTATTCATTTCAAATAACACACTAAATGCAGATAAATGCACTCTACTTCACAGGACAATAAGTGTTCTAGATATAAATAAGCTCTGGCTCAACACATTCTTGCCAATTCCAGTCCTACAACAATTTATTTTTCTTCAAGTGACAATTCTTCACAGTTTCAATACTGCAGCAGCAAATTATTGTGGTCCATATTTGAAAACATCTTGAACTAGTGGTAAGTTAGCAACTTCTGGTGCCACATGCAGTTTGGGTAGGGCAATTTCACCACAAATCCCAAAGACGCAGTGGGAACCAGGGGACAGAGGTCCTCTGTGGGAATGACTAGGAACTTCCGAAGCTTTTCCCCGCCCACCTCTTGGGGAATTCTTCATATAAATTCATAGAGGTGAACTTTGCAGTACTTGCATCCTGTCCATTGGTCCCTGTCATCCATGGGTGTGATGAAAAACAACAAAAACAACCCAGTTGGTACTTCATAGAGGAGCTTTTCAGAGCAAATCAGGCAGGATGAGGCCAGGAGGTTTTGGTTCAACACAATTGATCCAGAAGTTGGCACAGCTGGCATGATACTGGTGTCCACCATATGCCAGCTTGAAATTATCTGTGTCTGAGTTGAATGCCTGCCGGAAATAAACAGACATGTGCATTAAGTCAGGCTTCTTCTGCTCCTAAGAGCTGAGCAGCAACCAGCATGCACACTTCAAGTCACAGAGGCCAAGGCCAAGCTGGCACATGTACAAAAGCTGAGCAGGTAGCTACAGAAATTCAGGTGAGAAAGTTTTTGCCACTAATTAAAGGTATAAAAGTATCTTTACCATTAAACCCAGTTTCAGCAAAAGAAGGCCAAATCTGTCATAGAAAAGGCAGAGTCTAGGGGATTGGGAGGAGGGTGTCATGATATGGGGAACTAACATAGCCAAGGGCTGTGGCTAATTTTTATCCCTCATTATGCTGAAGGAATAAAGGCTGGCATCTAATCCCTTAACTTTCTGTGGCTAATTACCATCCTATCATGAAAGAAAACAAAAGATTATAAACTCTTAGGGTCTAATGCCATTGGAAGCTGGTAATAGAATCAACATAATTAAAAAGTCCAAATTGGGACTGGGTTCATAAAAAATGAAGATATTAAACACATAAGAATTATTTCTGGATAAGTAAGGCTTACAGCTGAGTTACATCTAGCCAATCCTAACCACACCATGTCCCGGGGTGCTTTTTAAAGCATTACAAATAAATGAAACTCTAAAACCCAAACAATTTGTGTGTGTGTTTTTTTGTCCGAAAATGGTCAAATCCTGAAGTTCTTTGATCTCACTATGTGTCACTATAGCTTCCAGTCTTTCAGAAGCTGCTCATTCTGTTACCCTACCCATCACAGAGAAAAATAACCACACCACCAGAAGCCAATCATGAGATACATGCATGCAAACAAGATGGAAGTGGATCTACACAGTTAGTTGATTAAATCAAACATTATGGGAACAAAGGTGACTCAGTAAAGATTCATGATTGGAATGGGTCAGGATGCCAGTGGAATCATTTGATTTGCCTTCCACACTGAAAATTAAGATGTAGATGCTAAGATAATGTGTAACTGGTTCATACTTTTTTAGGATGTTCCTCTGCAGGCTTCTCTTCTTTCTGAAATAACGTTGAAACCATAAGGTCAACAAAATTCCCAGAACAGAGCCTCTTGCCTGCAAACAAATCCTTGCGGGTAACCTGTTCTCTACTACCCCACTGTGCACAGGGTGCTGCTGGCACAATGCAAAAGCTCGCTTCCTAGAAAGGGAAGAACGGCACGCGCTCCATCGACAGTTTCCCCACTGCTTTTCTGAAAATACGTCTATTTCTCTGGTCAGATTTCAGGGCTTTCATAAAATCCCAGCCACCTGGGCACGGCCCTTGTAGTGAAGTGGTCTAAATGGAGTTGTCCCCCAGGTCATGTTAGGAAAGCACTTTGCCATCTGCTGGGGAAGGCGTGGGACTTACCCGGCTCCTAGAGTCCACGTTTAACAGGCACACCCCACAAGCAAGTTCCTGAGCATTTTTAATACCAGGCCGCAGCATACAAGAGGAAAAATCCAGTGAATTTTCATCAGGCTGTGAAAACAAGACAAATGGGTGAGAACCTGGCAATTCCAAATGCTGTTAGCTTCCCTCCAATGATTACCCATCCCCAATAGGTCCAACAGCAAATTAGGTAAGCTCTCTAATACCACCAATACAATCATTCCATTTCCCAAACATTGACTGAGTACCTGCATGTTCCAGTAGGGATGCTAGCACGAGGAAAAAAACCGGTCCCTGTCCTCTGAACTCAGTGTAGGGTGGGGGCCAGGTGGGTCTCAGGCAACACAGGTGATGAAAGCCCTACTAGGGGTAAGTACGGAGTGACAGGGCACACGGGGCGGGGGACTGACTCCAACCCCAGGGGAAAGCAGCCTGATGGCAGAGATATCTTCCCAGAACTTAGAAACAACTTGGCTGAGTCCTCATGGACATACTACGCTCGGTGAAGGGGATGGAATGGATGAGTAGGGAGGGAAGGATGCTTATTCTATGTAGAACAAGCAGGCCAGGCAAAGGATCTCAGCAAAAGACTGGGTATGGGGGGAAGTCTAGGGGTTGGGAGCCAAGCTTATGAAAGAGGTAAGAGATGGAACTGGAATATGAGGCCTAAAGGAAAATATGGGGTTGAGGCTTTATCCTGGGAAGCCGTTAGGGTTCTAATTGGATCATGACAATTCTGGTTGCAGTGTAGGCAGTGAATTAGGGGAGGCAATCTTCAAAGTATGGGCCTCCCAAGGCTGTTGTAGCACTCCAGGACCCAGACATGGAAGGTCTGAACTAAGGTAGCAACAGTGGGGAGTGGAGAGCAATGGGCACATGAAAAACCTAGTAAGGCAGTAGAGTCAACAGGACTGGGTGACCTTTAGTGTGCAAGGAGCGGGGAGGCATAGGCAACTGAGAGATTCACCAAAATAAGGTACATGAGAGCAGACCAGGGTTGGGAATGGAGGATGGCAGGAGAAGAGCTCAGTTTGAGCTGCCTATGGGACAGCCAAGTTCTGACGTTATATAAGCAGGCAGATGGATATACAGTCCTAGTGTTCGAGGGGGAGAGACCTGGAAGTTACCAGCTAGTAAGTAGACCCCTGCCCTGGCTGGTTTGGCTCAGTGGATAGAGCATCAGCCTGCTGACTGAAGGGTCCAGGGTTTAATTCCGGTCAAGGGCACATGCCTGGGTTATGGGCTCAATCCCCAGTAGGGGGTGTGAAGAAGGCAGCCAATCAATGATTTTCTCTCATCATTGATGTTTCTATCTCTCTCTTCTTCTCTGAAATCAATAAAAAATATATTTAAATAAATCACAAAGGCTTGAACTAAAATTTAAAAAAAATAAGTAGAGCTCTTACTTGTGCTAAGCACCACATTAAGGTCTTTACATGCATCATCTAATTTATTCTTTACAACAAATCTATGAACTATGGAGAGTGTAGCCTAATGATTAAAAGGGCAGGTCCCCAACTTTAGAAAGCTGTTAATTTCTTTAAAAAAAATTTATTGATTTTTTAGAGAGGAAGGGAGAGGGCTAGAGAGTTTAGAAACATCGATGAGAGAGAAACATGCATCAGCTGCCTCCTGCACACCCCCTACTGGGCCCGCAACCAAGGTACATGCCCTCGACCGGAATAGAACCTGGGACCTTTCAGTCCGCAGGCCGACGCTCCATTCACTGAGCCAAACCGGTTAGGGCAGCTGTTAATTTCTTAAGAGTTAAAATATATATCTACTATACGAACTTGCAATTCCACTCTTATTTATCCAAGAGAAATGAAAACCTGTTAACAAAAAGTGTTGCACAAAAAGTGTTCATAGCAGCTCTTTTCATATTAGCCCAAATTGGAATTAGCATGTCTATAAACAATAAAATGGATTAAAAAGAAACATGATATATTAATACAATGGAATATTACTCAGTGATAAAAAAAAGATCAAATTGGCATACAACAACACAGATAAATTTTTACAATATGCTAAGCAAAAGAAGACAGACACAAGAACATATATACTACATAAGTTCATTTATATAAAGTTCTAAAACAAGTACATCTTTGGTGATAGAAATCACTGGATGTTTTGGAATCAGATCAGGGGACTGACTGGGAAGGGGCAAGAAAGAACTTTAGAGGTTGATGAAAATACTCCATATATTGATGGGGGTAGGATACATTGCTGTATGCATTTGTCAAAACTGATCTAACGATACATTTAAGATCTGTGCATTTCATTTTATGTAAATTATTCCTCAACTAAGAAAAACATTTGAATAACAACGAAAAGAAATAAAAAACCCAAATCCAACACCAAAGCAAAATAATGATTCAGGCCATCTTAAATAAAACATCATTTACTTTAATTTGGAAGTATTTCATGCATTTATTAAGATTTTTAAAAAGTTATATTATACACTGACAAGTCCCAGAGCCAGACTGGGATATACAATCCTCAATCTTTAGCCAATGATGAACCGCTAAAATGATGCCCAAAAAGAAGGCTTTGGTAGTAATTACTGTTCACAAGTATTCTCATTCTCCTTCCCTTAAATTAGCCATCACTGTGCAACCTGCCATGGTCAATAGACTGTGAGCACAAGTTCCGTGTGTCACTTCTGGAAGGAAGCCTTTAAGACCAACGTGCTATTTGTGATGTTCCCTTTACCTTCCCATGGTGACCAGCTATATTCCACATGGTGGAGGGTCTGTCAGCTTAGGTTCCTGAATGAAAAGGACACAGCACAGAGATCCTCCAACTTGAGACAGGCATGTTAGCAGGAACAATAAATAAAGCTTTGTTGTCTTACATCGCTAAGATCAGGGAGGGGTCTGGTTTGTTAACTGCAGCATAACGTAGACTAATTTGACTGATACAAAGAGTGATCTAGTCACAGATTCAACAAACAATTCCAGACTTTTGGTTTGGGTTACAATGTAACCATTCTTGGCCAATTGTGTAATTTCCCCTATTGCCACTATAACAAATTAACACAAATTTAGTCACTTAAAACAACATATACTTATTCTCTAAAAGTTCTGGAGGTCAGAATTCTAAAATGGCTTTGCAATGCTGCATTCCCTCTAGAAATTCTGGGGGAGAATCTACTTCTTTACCTTTTCCCATTTGTAGAGCATGCCTATATATTCCTTAGAATCGAGGGCCTAGAATCAGTGATGGCGAACCTATGACACGCGTGTCAGAGGTGACATGCGAACTCATTTTTTGGTTGATTTTTCTTTGTTAAATGGCATTTAAATATATAAAATAAATATAAAAAAATATAAGTCTTTGTTTTACTATGGTTGCAAATATCAAAAAATTTCTATATGTGACACGGCACCAGAGTTAAGTTAGGGTTTTTCAAAATGCTGACACGCCGAGCTCAAAAGGTTCACCATCACTGACCTAGATCATGGTCCCATCTTCCATCTTCAAAGCCAATAGCACAGCACCTGCCAATTTTTCTCGGCTTCGATTGTCATGTGTCTTTTTCTCATTCTCACTCTCCTTGGTTCCTCTCAGAAGGATCCTTATGATGGCACTGGGCCACCCAGATTATCCAGGGTAAATTCCCCATCAGAAGATCCTTAACTCAATCCCATCTGTAAAGTCCCTTTTACCACTTAACGTAACAAATTCACAAGTTCTGGGGACTAGGACGTGGGCATCTTTGGGGGGAGGGCATTCTTCTACCAACCACATCCACCTTGTCAACAGAGGACAGCCATGCAGAACATGATAAAGGTTCTGTCTCACAACACTGTGTAGACTGGCAAGATAAAATGCCATCATTATTAAAAATAAACTTCTGATATGCCACAGCAAGAGGAAGTAAATACTCAAATTCACTGCTTTTTTTCGCGTGGAAAAGCACAAAAGAACATGTGTTATACTGTGGAATCAAAGAGCCTGTGTGATCTTCAGTTGACTGGAGGCTAGGAGAGTAACAGCCCTATTTTTTTCCCGATAGATTTTATATGGCAGAGATGGACGAGTTTTGTTTTACAGGACCGAGTCTTTGTTCCAAACCTACTAATTTTAACCCATATCCATGAGATAGAACCTTAGATACTAGTAACAATTCACTTGTCTCACTAAAATAAATGTGTTTTGTTTTTTTGAATACTCATCCGAGGATATTTTCCCATTGATTTTTTTAGGGAGAGGAGAAGAGAGAGGGAAAGACAGAAATATCAATGTGAGAGAAACACATCGGTTGGTTGCCTCCTGCATGAGCCTTGAGGACCCGGGAGGAGCCTGCAACCGAGGTACATGCCCTTGACAGAATCATATCTGGGACCCTTTGGTCCGCAGGCTGATGCTCTATCCACTGAGCCAAACAGGCTAGGGCTAAAATAGATGATTTTTACTTCTGAGTTCCTGCAGTCTGTGCTTAGAGGAGATATGCTTCTACCACAAGAGGGAGTTTGAGTCCATGGATCAAGAGCATGTATAAAAGGAAAAGGGACTATAAAACTTTGCTAGTATAACTTCTAACTTAAGATTAAGGAGCTACGACTTGGAGTTTAAAAGTGTGTGCTCTGCTTTTCTTAGCCCAAACATCATGACTGCAATGCAGCACTTCTGGGACATCTTCGCTAGAGAAAAGTAACAGCTGTCTTTTGATGGGAATAATTTCATGGAATCTTCATGGGAAGAAACAAGTGTTTGTTTTTAGCATCTCTTCAGCTGGGACTAACACAATAGGAAGCATAAAGGATTTTTAAAGGATGATGTGCTTTCAAATCCCACATTTGTCAGTTTTAGGCAAGTTTCGTCTCTGAGCCCCAATTTCTTCACCTGTAAAAATGGGGATTATACTACTGACCTCATGAAGCTGTTACCAGGATTAAATGAGAACAAATGTAAAGCATATAGTGCAATACCTGGCAGCTTCGAGGTGCAAAATACTGTTCCATCAGTATTACCGAAATCAGAGAGCTGACTGGGGCAATTTGGCTCCCTAAGGAACTTAAAATTCTACCTAAAATGAATCAATGATGCAGAGGTAAAAGATTCCTATGCAATCTGAATCACGCCTCTAATTTTAGTAATGATTTCGCTGCTTTGAGCCTCAACCCAGAGTCCTTGCAGTGGGTAGAGTTTTCTTCCAACTGAACTGAACTACACAGATGTTGGTCTGTGCCACTCATATTTATACATCTATGTTCAGAGCAGTAGCTTCTTCATGACAATCCACACCTTACACTTCCTCTGTGGAATGCATCCTATTCTCCATGCAGTGGGCAGTTCAAGTTAAGTGTTATAGGCCAGGACCTACCAGTTATCAAGAGGAAACGATGTGGTATAACTCAGGAAAAGTATCTGAGCAGAGGATGACTGCTTTTCTGTCATAGCTAACCTGGTGACAAAAGCAATGGTAACTGGGAAAGCACGGGAGATTAGAGAAATGAACACTCAGTGGTCTCACATACACCTGCAATGCATCCCTGTGTTGTCTAGCTGCAGACTAATACCTATAACCTTACCTGGTGTCTAGAAAAAGCCAGGTAAGCTCGCTCTCTAGACATGGATGCCAAAAATGATGTTCCTAATGGGGCTTTGAAGGAGAGGGCACAAATGCCTAGCCACTCACCCCATTTTCCTGACAACTGGCCACCCTGAGGGATTTACAACTATGGAACAGAATGGGCAAGACCTTGGCAAACTGAGCAGAGAGGCGCTGATGAACTACAGAGTTAAGGATGCAAAGGTAATACACTGAACTCCATGGTGAACAACTGGCAACACTTCTCTATCCCACAACCTCACAGGTACCCTCACATACATCATTAGCCAAACAACTTCATTTGTAGCTGGAGCTTTGAAATATTTAAAAACCCGTTTCATCACCTAAACACAACCCTATTACCACTCTGGCAAATTTCCTTCCATCTCTGTAGTAACAGTTCTGTGTTATTTCAAACTTTGTGCTCTTTAAAAAATGGTTGCGTAACATCCTAGTACGAAGAGCCATACAAATCTGACTAATCCTCTAGCTTTGGACTTTCAGGTTATTTCCAATTTTTCACTTTTACAGAGAACAACTTGTACATTTAACTTGCTTCTTTCTGAAAGTTTGTATTTAGAACTGCTGCCTTAGGAAGTTTTCCTAAAAGTGGAATTACTCAATCACTGAATGTTTGTAAGGCCTTTGTTTCACTCAACTCTTACTGGTTATCTATGCAGTGCCTGGCACTGTGCTCAGAATGATAACAAAAGATAGACAAACTGTGGTCTTGGTCCCCGTCCTCAAGGAGTTCACAGGCTGAGGGAAAGCATATTGCCAAACACGTCTGTCATAGGGTGGTACCAATTTATATTTCCTAATACATTTCCTAAGGAATAGTCACATTGTACCACATCAACACTGTTAGGATTCAAATAAACCAAACAAAAGGGTGTCTGGAATGACTTCTGGGGGAAATGATGCAGAGTTCAGAAGGTAAAGCAGTCTAACAGAGAGAGGCAGGGCGGTCCGAGAGACGGAAAGGACCTAGACACTGAGCTAAGGAGTTTAAACTGATCCTGAAGACACGGAGAGGCACTGTGGGGTTTTAAAGGGTACTTAGTAACACAATCGGATTTACATTTTAGAAAGAAATGTCTAGTAGTGGTGTGCAGAAGATATTGGTAAGGTAGAAAACAAATTAACCAGTAACTCTATGCGGTCAGAAGTAAAAAAGATCTGAATGGTTTAATACATTTAAAAAAGTGAATTTTTGCCCTAGCCATTGGGCTCAGTGGATACAGCGTCGGCCTGCGGACCGAAAGGTCGTGGGTTTGATTCAGTCAAGGGCATATACCTCGGTTGCAGGCTCCTCCCCAGCCCGGGCGCACTGCAGGAGGCAACCAATGGAAGAGTTTTTCTCACATCAATATTTCTCTCTGTCTTTTCCTCTCTCTTCCACTCTCTAAAAATCAATGGAAAAATATCAAGTGAGGATAAAAAAAAAAAGTGAGTTTTCCATTTCTTTATTTTCTAACTATTATTAATATGGATTTTAAGAATGCCACCTCTTGAATTCAGATTTCTAGAAGTATTTCATATCACCAAATAAATGTAACTTATCTTATTTTCAAATATTTATACTTCATTTCTTATTGAATTGGTCAAAATAGTATTTTAAAAAAATAATTACCCAAACTGTATGATTTTAGGTTATAAATTGAAAAATGGTCCAAAGGAACAATAGAGATTTTGGAAATGATTTAAGCTCTTTAAGAATTTAGTATTACAAACAAAAGCAATATAATACTGGGGAGAGGATTTGCTGTTTAAGACACATTGTCTGGGGTTAGGGTTAGAAATGCTAAGGAAGGAACTCAAACTAATGCTTTGCAAAATACACATATATGTATATGATTTAAGAGGATGGGTTAAGAATGAATGTTTTCCAGAAGCTAACCTGGTACTATTCAACCAATTGCACAAATGTTCTGTCCTTCCTTTAACATAATATGATACATACCAGTAGGCACCTTCATCTTCCAATAAGTGTCGTCATAGGAATGTACACTCTGCTTTACAACTTAGGTTTCTGGAAAGGAAAGCAGCTTGAATTGTCGAATGGGCTTACCGTGAGTGTGGCAAGTGACATGAAGCCGATGAGGTTATTCCACACTTTATCGATGTCCTTAAGCAACTGCTGCAGCTTCTCACTGCACACTGCGGTGGCTTTTATCCCCAACTCCACACGTTTGGTCACCCTGTACACTTCAACAACACCTGACGGGGTGAGAGCGTAGAGAGTTAGGTGCTGGAAGTGTATCAAGAGCAGTACTGCTTGCTGTTATCTTAGTTGGAAAAAAGGACTATATCTGGACAGAGGTGAATGTACTATCTCTTAGGACCAACCATCTCTCAATGCTTCAGTTTCACTGACTGGTAAGAGCATAAACTCTAGAGCTACTCTGCTTGGATTCAAATCCCAGCTCTGTCACTTACTAGCTGTGTAACTTTGGGCAAGTCACATAACCTCTCTATGCATCAATTTCCTCATCTGTAAAACTGGGTTAATAATAGCACCTCCACAAAGGATGGTTGAAGGGATTAAATTGGTTAATGCTATAAAAGGCTTAGAACAGTGTCCGTAGAACAGTAGGTATTATGCAAGTATTAACTTGTTTTTTTCTCGACTTTTTAGTCCATCTGTTTGAATTTGGGAAATACCATTAAACTTGCTGAAAATGGGAATATTAAAAGTTTAAAAAACTCTGAATGTCAATATCATTACAAACTAATTAAGAACTATCTTACTCCTATAATGCCCACTGATTTACACTCTGCGGTTTCATGTATCGTTTATACACTTAACAGAATTCAGAACAGTTCTTTTCCTATGGTTTCTGAGTACGGATGATAGGTGCCAAGTATCTCTGCATTCTAAGGAGAGGCACCAGACACATCCGCAACCCTTACCCCAGCTTCTACGAGAGAGAACTGGAGGACCCCTGGGGGGTCTTCAGTGGTATGCCATCAGCCCTATGGCTTGTCCTCTTCCTTTCCTAGGGGAAGGGCAGGAATTACTGTCTACCCTACGCCAAGTGAGGGGACCTCTAAGACAATCTTTCATAGATACCAGGAAAGTATTCGAAGGAGAGGCAGCCCTGGCGAACATCTGTTTATGCAGAATTGTGCCTGTCTGGGTGGGAAAGAGGAACTAGAGTGAGGGGGCAGGAGCAAAGGAGAAACCACATCCCTTCACTATCCATTCACCCAGCAAATATACTTCAGTGACTACTATGTGTCAGGCACTAATCTAGCTGTTGGAGAAACAGCAGTGAACAAAACAGGCCAAAATCCTTCCCTACTTGGAGGTTCCTTATAGTGGAGGGAGACAGGTAATAAACAAGAACGATAAGTAAAATACACAAGATGTTAAAGGAGATAAGGCTAGGGAGAAAATCAAGCAGAGAAAGGGACAGGAAGTGCCAGGGTGGACAGAGGGGATACAGTGGAGTAAGGGGGGCCAGGGAAGACCTCAGTTAGAAGGTGACATGTGAGTGAAGATCTGAAAAAGATTAGGCTCCAGTGCCTGTAGCTCTTGGTCACAGGCTAAGCCTGAGCTTGGGGCAGGAGGAACACTGAATAAACAGAGATTGAGGTTTCAGGTTGGACTGGGATTTTTAATAGCTGAAGGTGGCCAGGAAGTTAAGGAATCGGTGATACTATTAAGGGGTAGAGAAACGAACTGACAGAGCAAAGACAGGCATTGACTGGAGACCCAATGATTTCATTCTAATGCATCACCTTGTTCAGATTCCTTGATAAACCAGTAATACAGATATAATTTTACATTGTTGCTATTATAACAAGGACTGGCAAGTGTGGCCATAGAGATCTTAAGTCAAATAGTCAAATAATGATGTTTGCCAATGACATATCTACAAATGCAGATGCTACTTAATAAAGCCATATGTAACTTGAGAGACCTAAATTAAACTACTTAACATAAGGGAAAACTGAAAATATTTCAAAGTGTCATGATTTTTGAATAAGTAAAGTATAAAAGAACATACCTAATAAATATTCCATGCCTTGAGCTGACTGAATTACTTCTGTGCACACAGAACTACTACTGATTCCATTTAAGGTATCATTTGCTTTCTTAATGACCTACAAGAAATGAAATCACATCACCTTACATAATCAAGAAAAGTCATTGCAAATCAAATTACTATTAGTAGAAAACCCAAGCCAAGAGGTGTGAAAAAGCATGACTAACTGATGTATGTATGTAACTATGCTAAAACAAACCTGAGAATTTAATTTTAACCTTGGAGAAACAACCCTCCATTTCTTTGGAAGTGGAAAGATAGAGGTTCTTTAGCTAAAATATTAATTTAGGCAGAGTTAATGATATCAGTTGTTATTTCTTAAACACAGTGACAGATGAGGGCACCACTGAGCCAAACCAGTTAGGGCAGTTGTTATTTCTTAAACACAGTGACAGATGAGGGCACAACTGACAAATGAGCCAGTGTATGCTATTACAAATGTAAAAGAAGCCTCACTTAAGATGTATGACTTTTTCCCGGCCAGTGTGGCTCAGTGATTGAGCATTAATCTATGAACCAGGAGGTCATGGTTCGATTCCCAGTCAGGACACATGCCCAGGTTGTGGACTTGATCCCCGGGAGGGGGGTGCAGGAGGCAGCTGATTAATGATTCTCTCTCATCACTGATGTTTCTCTCTCTCTCTCTCTCTCTCTCTCTCTCTCTCTCTCTCTCTCTCTCTCTTTCCTCTATCTGGAATCAATAAAAATATGTATTTTAAAAAAAAAGATGTATGACTTTCCACAAAGCTTCACTTTGCACAAGGCAATCAAGGTAGGGCTCTCTTTAATTTTGCCTTTGTCCATTCAAAAGAACTAAAGAGGAAGCAAAATGATACAAGACAGAGCTTACATATAGGTGAACACCACAAAAGTGATATACTCACTTCTAGGGCACTCCCCAGGCACCTCTGCCATTCATATGCATATCTCTCATTCTCCTGTGAATTTCATAAAAAGAACTGAGTTAAAAGGGCAAGTCTGGAATCCTCTATTTATAACTGTCAATCCAGAAGGCACTGGAAGATTTTCCTTTTTTATTAAAATCACTCTAGTTCAAGTACAGTTTCTCTTACGAACCCACTAATGACTATTTTAAATTATTAATAAATGTAACTTCAAAGCACATGTCTTATGGATCTGAGGACAATGTTTTGTGACTGCTCCCCTCTGCAAATGTCGCCTCATTTTTCTAGTGATAGCATAAACTTCTTCACCGGTACTCACCACACAGGTGTCTAGTACAAGAGCCCATGTCAAATCACTGGCTTTCCACAGTTACAATTCTGTGTGAGTGTGTGTGTACATGCATATCTGCATGTCTATGACGACAGGAGTGGGGGGAGAATGGTTAAGGGTTGGCTGTACGAGGAAGACAGTATGGGATTAAGGTACAGGAAACATAGAAGATTCGTAACATTTTCCTCTTCTCCAATATTGATGTTTTAACATTCACTAAAATGATAAAATCTAAGTGTTCAAAAGAATTTCCTTAAACGTGACCCCCTTGTGCAGTCCTATGAATAATTTTGGTTTTCAGGTCACTACCTACTTTCAGTGCCTGCCATATCTGGGAGGTATTTTCATCCAGGGCTAATGTCACCATTCTCTCGCTTTAGTTGCATATTTTATGTCTGGTGCCTTGCGTCTCTCTGCCCCTTGTGTCACACAGGAAAGCTGCAAGCCTTTTTTCTCCAGGCCCTCCGTGCTCAGCTGGTCCTTTACCTGACCCCTGTGAACACTACCCCGCTCACCTCCACCTCTCCTGTCAGATCTTTGTACTTGTCACGGATGACAGGCAGAGCGGGCTTCTCACTCAGAGTGTTGGAACGGTCTCTGAAAGGCTGCTCCAAAGCCGGAGAAGGAGAAGAATGGCTTATTTCTTTATCACCAAGGCTCAGACTCCTCTTGTGTGATCCTGGGAGTAGATGGCACAGTTAAAGGTTTTGATTGCTCAGCTTAGTGCAAGCCGAGGCTCTTGCTAACGTGACCTCTTCTGCAGATGTTTATGTCATGAGACATTCAGAAATACCAACCTCATTCATTCTGTCTGGCAAGCTACATGTTGAATCCTTTCCATTGTTCTCTTGCTTAGTTTCCCCGCCTAATTTTCTCCACTACTCTTCCCTGATCTATCATAATTCTTGCATAATTCTAAGTGCAGAATCATTGGAGTTTGGAGGCCTAACGTGTCTTTCTAAATATCAGTGCGTCAGAGTTGTGCTGCTTTTCCAGTCCTTAGTTATGGATTTGCACCAATCTCCTACATACTTTCTCAATCTAATGGAAATCAATGATCCCTTCTGCCAAGGTGGGCTCACAGCAGAAAGGGCAAACTCAAATGTCTTCAAAAAGCAGGCCAGTAAAGTAAATGACTGTCAGCTGCAGATCGGAAGTGCTGGGGACTGTGACACTGGAGAGAGCACACCCCATCAATTAAAGGGCTTAGTATTGCCAGATATTACTTTTTAAGAAAAGCTAGAAATCCAGATTGGGAAATCTCATGATTTTTACATATTGGAACTGCTTCTCACATTTAAGAAACCTTGTTTGTGAGTCAATAAAACAGGTCTGCAGACTGGATCCAGATCTACAGCTACCACATTGCAGCCTCTGGATTAAAAGCTACAGGATGTAGCCAGGGAACAAGAGCAGAGCTAACTTGCCCACAAGTGGATCAAATCCATTTCTCTGGTACTTTTAACCCAGTACACCTCTAAGCAAACAAGCTAATGAACAACAACAGGCTGTGTGTTTAGCCCAAAAAGCAGTTATCTGAGGGATACTGGTTTGACTTCAGTATAGTCTCAGGGAAACTTTTTCTTTTCTTTTTTTTTATAGCTATCTGTAATAGACTGATTTCAAACACTGGAAAATCTATATCCTGCTAAACCAAGGACCAACTTTTTATCCTAAGAACATGTAACACCTTAGTGGAAAAAAAACAAACAAACACCACAATAAAAATCTATGTTGAAAGCTACTCACCTTGAACAGAGAGGTCAAAGGTTGCCAGTTCACTTTTGATCATTTCTTCACTGGATTTCATTTTGCTTTGTGAATTGGCCACTAAAAAGTCAAATTTGCTGATTTTGGGCTTTTCACTCTGAAACTCTCCGAAGTCATCTGAACATTCTTTGGGAGTGTCGTGAGAAGTGCCACTGGAAGTAGGGCTTGGACATGGGGCCTCTTGGCTCCATTCAGCTGCAGGTAGGTCCTGTCTGGTGAAATCTTATAGTCCCTGCTTTCATATTCTTGCTCACTGGTCTGAGGATCACATCTTAAAT